AAGAATCTTCAACCTTACAATTGCACGGAACAAATCATTGCTCATCTCCTCAGCTCAGTTTCTTTATCTGTTAGTCACATTTAAATGACAACTTGTTTTCATCCATATGGCCCCAGTAGATCCTACCAATCCTCTCCCATGTCAGGCTCAGGTTTTGGAATGTTATAACTAGAAGATGGTGGGAAAGAGGCTACAACTAGATGAGGTTCAAGATTCCTAACAAGCCACCCAGGGAGAAAGGACTGGGAGCTGATGCTCAGGCCACTCGTAAACCTTCTATCCTGTCCCTGGCTTTCACCCTCCCCAGGTCTGCCCAGCTCATATCAGCAGACCAAAAGTGTCTCTAATATTCTCTGTCAGAACAGTCCACAAAGTCATCTGACCCTCCAGCCCTGCACAAAGGCTCTGAGGAAAGTAGCAGTCCCTCCAAGCAGGCTTGGGTTCCCGTGGTTAATTTCAAATATGGATCCTGTGAAGTCAGAACAGACAAATGTACCAGATGGCCCAGACATGACCTCTGGACTGTCTATGGGACCAGATAAGAAATCTTAATTTTTAAAAAAATTTTTTTGAGGAAAAGTTTTCCTGTGTTGCCCTGGCTACTACTGTAGACTAGGATGGCCTCAAACTTCCAGAAATCTGCCTGCCTCTGCCTCAAGAGTGCTGGGGTTAAAAGCATGAGCCACCCTCATCAGGGCATCACAATAGAACCAACCCTGTTAGCAGAGATGTGGGTGAGCCAGGCCCAAAGTTGGGAGCATGGGAGAACTGTCCCCATTTCTCATTTGTCTTGTGGCAGCATGGGTGGGGGAAGAGTTGCCCTCCTCCTCCCTTCCTCTCCCCAGCCCATCAATGCCTGAGGAAGTTGGTACTGTGAACATAAAAAAGGGAGAGCTATCCCTGGGCCCTACCAGCTGCAACTCAGGAAAGCAGATCCTGCACCTTGTCTGGGCAGCACAATGGAGTCAACCCTGTTGGGGGAGGTGTGGGTGAACCAGCTCCAAAGTTGTAGACTTGGAGAGCTGTTCTCATTACTTGTCTGTCATGTGGCAGTGCGGGAGGAGGAGAGATGCTCCCTTACCCCTTGCCCCTTACCATCTGCAACAGACAAGAAATCTGACCCTCCCCCCTTACTAGCCACAGCACTGAGGAAAGCAAGCCCTGCCCCCGGCCTAGGCAGCATAGCATAGCTACCTGGTGGTTAGAGATGAGGGTGGTCCAGTCCCCAATATTGTGAGCAAGGGAGAGAGCTGTCCCTATTACTCATCTGACATGTGGCAGTGTGGATGGAGGAGAGATGACCTTCTCCCCATCCCCCACCCATCAACACCTGAGACAGATGGAGGGGCTGGCCCTGGGGTCTTAAGAGCAGGAGGGCTGTCCCTGCCCCTGACCAGCAGCAGCACTCAGGAGAGTGTCCCTGAATCTCACTTGGGCAACACAATGGAGCTGGCCCTGATGGTGTAAGGTTGGGAGAGAGGACCCTGAAGGCATGAAAACAGGAGAGCTGGCCCCATCCCTCCCTTGTTGCTATAAGAGATGAATTAGCTGAGGCAATGCTGGAGAGCTCACCCTGGTGGTGACAACAGGGGAAAAGTGGCTTGTGGAACAACCCTGCAGCTGTCCAGGCCCAGAACCAGGGTTATGACTTGGCCCACCCCAACATCCACCCATCTGTGATCTGCTGGAACATGTGAAGGAATCGGTCCTGCAGACCCAAAGTGACAGGTTCTCCACAATGCAGGGCAACAATAGGATACCAAAGAAGAGTCCCAGTGAGGGCCCAGCATAGATACTACAGTAGAAACCAGAGGCCTCCAACCAGACCAATGACACTTTGTAATGAACACTTACAAGTAAAGATATATGAACAAAGGGTTTGACTGTGTGATTCACTGTGTCACACTGCAGCTTCCATGATGAGATTTTTTTTGTTTTTCCCCCCTTTTTTCTCTTAAATTGTGTTTTATTGGGGCTGGGTGCAGGGGTGGAGAGTGGATATGAAGGGACAGGAAAATGAATGGGGATCAAGATACATGGTGTAAAAGACACATGGGATAAAAAGAAAATTTAAAAAGCATGTGCCACCACTCCCCGGCAGTAGCAGGCTCCTCTTTTGGGGGGGGCAGGGGCGGCTTAGACAGGGTTCCTCTGTGTAACAGTCCTAGCTGACCTGGAACTCTCTCTGTAGACCAGGCTGGCTTTGAACTCACAGAGATCCTCCTGCCTCTGCCTCCCAAGTGCTGGGATTAAAAGTGTACCACCAAGCCTAGCCAGATCATCAGATAATAACTAAAATAAATAAATGAAAATAAATCTTATAAGATCTCAGTGCTGGGAAGTGATTTTTGCTCACCAAACTCAGATGAAACTGAGGCCCTAAACTGTCTTCAGATTTCAAATCAAACACAGTTGATCCAAGATGTGATTCTTCTATTTGTTTTCCTGAAATCAAGATACTGGGAGCCAAATTGGTCAAAAGAAGACTGCTTGGTGAGCAAACCTTGTTCCATAGTAGAGCCTGGTGTCTCCCTGCTTCCAATTCTCTCTTCACATTTTCCTTGAGTGCTGAAGAATAAGCTCAGTACCCAGAACACACTAGGGACAAACTCATTTGAATGAACACATTATCAAATTTCTGCACCCCCAGGGCTGCCCCTCCTGCCTGCATTCCTATGCCAGGCACTGTGCTAGACTTGGTGCTACTGGAGTTCACAGACTCTCTGGGGAATCAAAGAATAAGTTAGGCTTCCACTGAGGACCCCAATGATGACTGTACCACAGCTGTGCCCAAGGGACTGTGTGCACCATTCATATGACCTGGTTGTTCATTCAGCCCAAGCAGGAAGAACAGCACTGGGCAGACACTTTGCTGCTTTCTGAGTTAACAATGGAGTGATGCTTGGTATTATCAAAAGATCTGAACTCCCTGGGATCTTAGAGAAACAAGAATTTGCCAGGTTTTTGTTTGGTTGGTTGGGGTTTTTTTTGTTTTGTTTTTTTTTTTTTTTTTTTTTTTTTTTTTTGGCCCACTACCCAGCACCCAAATAAATACATGCAGGCTTATTCTTACTTATGAATGTCCGACCTTAGCTTGGCTTGTTTCTAAACAGCTTTTCTAACTTAAATTATCCTGTCTCTCTTTAAGTATGTTTTGCCTCTTGGCTTTTCACCTTTGTTTATTCTATATTTCTTTCCTCCTTACTTCAAGCCGGCTGTGTGGCTGGCCCCTGGTGTCCTCCTCTCCTTCTCTTCTCCCTCCTCCCTCTGTGCTCTTCCCTGAAGCCTAGGTTTCTTCTCCTATTTATTCTCTCTGTCCTGCAGCCATGCCCATCCCTCTCTCCTGACTAGCCATTGGCCATTTGGCTCTATTAGACCAACCAGGTGTTTTAGACAGGCCAAGAAACACAGCTTTACTGAATTAAACAAATACAACATAGAAGAATGCAGTAGCATAAATAAATGTAATAAACTAATATTCCACAATGTTTTTTTTTTTCAAAACCTTTTTAGGCAAAGAATTTCTCTACATTTTCCAAGCTGAACTGTGATCATGAGCATCATAACCTTCACTCACCTCCTTTGCATGATGCAACTTAATTCAGGCTCATTTTTACTGACCACCAAGCACCGATACGGTTTCAACTTGAGACTGGTTAGGGCACCTAGCTCCCTGGCATTATTGAACTGCATAAACATGCCTCCAGAGTTCTCTTACCCTGTGACCAGCCTACACAGATGCCTGCATACTGTGTTTCCTAGCGTAAATGTCTCTCCAGACATCCCTGTCAACACAGTAATGGAGAACTCCTGCAGTAGAACCCAGGGCTCTCAAGCCAGACCAGGTGGACTATTGGCAGAGCATCACACACGGTTTCCCACTCCAACAGGGAAGCTTCTTAAACATTAGTGGGTGTGCATCTGCATGTCCTTCTTTGCTAAGGACATCCTAACCAAAAAAACGGTCAGCTAACTTAGGAAAATCCAGTATTTTAATACTGACACTATCTGCACAGTAGTTCAGAGAAAAATATGCCTGTTTCCACGGTGACACGCTTGCAGATGTGTCATGGTTTGCCACTCCTTGAACTTCCAGGGATTAGAAATTATTTCTTCGGGGTAACAACAGCCTCTTCCCCTAATAGTTCCCATCAATCTGCTCCCCCTCCCTGCACCGATGACTTGGTTGTGAAATCAGTTACCCAAAGGGAAAATTTCTCAGCTCTGTGCTTCTGCTTTTGAGGACTATAAAACAGTGAGGGAGAACTAGTGGACAACAAACCTTGTGGTGGCTCGAGGCTGAACAGGCTGATCGGGGAATACTTTCCAGCCAAGCTTCCTGTGCAAGTAAGATTTACCTCTCACAACTAAATCCTGGGAGAAAGACTCTTTCTCTCTCTCCTTCTCTCTCTCTCTCTCTCTCTCTCTCTCTCTCCATCTCTCTTTCCTTCTCTCTCTTTCTCTATCACTCCCTTTCTCTGTACTTTTTTTAATTAAAAAAAATAGTTGTAAGGCTACGACTTGTGAATCATTATGGAAATGAATGCTGTTTATATGGCAGCTGACATCTAAGAGCTAACTGTCTCCTTGAAGTTTTTCTGTTTGGGGCTTAGCTCAACTCTTGTTTTCTTCTAGACCAGTGGTTCTCAACCTTCCTAATGCTGTGACCCTTCAGTACAGTTCCTCATGTTGTGGTGATCTCCAACCACAAAATTATTTTCATTGCTACGTCATAACTGTAATTTTGCTACTGTTATGAATCGTAATGTAAATATCTATGCTTTCCCATGGTCTTAGGTGACCCCTGGGAAAGGTTGAGAACCACTGTTCTAGACCCATACAACAGCTCCTCAACTCATTCACTCATTCCCCAGAGATCAGTTTTTACATGCCCATCCTGAACTAGAGCTGAGAGACATACAAATGACGGTGGCCCCGAGGGAACTAACCCTGTGCATGGCCACTCACTTTCTCTTTTTACACAGGTGTCTGAAGCAGCCATGGCAACTGTTCCTGAACTCAACAGTGAAATGATAGCTTTCCACAGGTCAGTGGGGAGCTGGAGAGGGGTCATATGTTCAGGGCTCTGCTTTCAGGAATGGAAGGCTATCTATTCTCAGAAGCCAGATTGTCCCCAGCTCACCTCCTTCAGTGGCTATCAGAATTCAAGTCAACCTCCTTTAAAGGCTAATTTGTCTACCTAGTCCAGCCTTGAGACCTAGGTGCTGTCACTACAGGGACTCCTACAGGTGCACCTTCCACATGGACAGTACAGGAGCCCAGTTTGCAAAGTCTGGCTTGGAAGCAAGGGGTTAGCACTCAGCTTTTAGCTATCTCTGCTAGCCTAGAATTTAGGTGTCAGAATCCAACAGACAGCACCAAGAGAACCCACCTACCTGGCCCAGAATCTGCTTCTAGATGCTTGCTTGCACACTATGGGACTTTCCAGGAGACTTCAGGAAGCTTTGAGTGTCGTTCTATGCATAGCTTTATTAACAGCAAAGAGTTTTATGCACAGTATTGCTCCGTATTGATAAGGAGGCATAGCTTAACCAACATTTGTTTTCATTACAGTGATGAGAATGACCTGTTCTTTGAGGTTGATGAGCCCCAAAAGATGAAGGTGAGACTCGGGTCTTAGCTCCCAGCCTGTGGCCGGGCTCCGGAGTGGGAAAAGCTCCAGTCGGGGTGAGGGATACTGGATTGCCTTGCTCCAGGTATATTTTGTGATGGCATTATTTTGCCTCTTCCAGTGAAACACACAGACAGCCCAGACACTGACCTAGCTTCCACACTGCTCCCACTACACCATAGTCACTCACCGAGACTTGCTGGTGGTGAGCATGGTGTTTTATGCTAGGAAGACAGTCAGGTCTTCAGTACACATTTAGTCCTCCCTTCAAGATGGATGAGGCCTACTCTGATCACTTATGTCAAATTCCATGTAAGCCGGAGAGGGTGACCTTTAGGATTAGCATATCTTCCTTCTCTACTGTAGAATAGTTTCTTGTGCTTCTAGGGAAGAGATTAAGACAGTAAGAAGTAGTAAACAAAGAGATTAATTGGGATTTTTTAAAAATAAATTTTGACCTTAGACAAGACCTTTAGTTGCTGTGTGACCTTAGACAAGTCACTGTGCCCTTTTGGCTCTCATCTCAGAAACACAGGGTCTGAGCCAGAAGCTCCCTGAGATGTTAACATTCTGCAACAACCTTCAGTTCTGAATGCTTTCAGTGCTGGCCAAGTCCATCCTAGCACGTGGGTATTCTCCAGACTCACTCTCGTGAAAAGCCATGTTGACCTCCCAGCTGTCCCTTCCCCTTTCCACGAAGATAACTCTCTAATGTGGCATGGCATCCACCCACCAGATCACTGACGAGTCAGGAGGTAGCTGCTTTTCTCAGACCCTGTTTTCAAGTTCATGACCCCTCCCCCACCTGAAAAATCCAGTCCTCAGTCTTAAATGAGTGTCTTTTAAAGACCATTGTAGCTGGTTAACTCAGCCCTGGGTGGAGCCCTTGACTTTCTCAGCCAGGCTGTGGCCCCCACTGCCTGCTCCAGAGCCTGGCTCTCACTGAGAGCCTCTGCCCTAGACAGGGACTTCTCTCCCAATCAGCTTTCCCTTCATGTCATTCAAAGTATCTGCCACTGTCTGTCAGGCTTTGAAACTATTACCATGCTTCCAGACAACTTTGGTTAGGCCTAATGTAGTGTTTCTCTGAAGAGCAGGAAAGTGGTAGCATGTTTCACAAGCAGCAACCCTGCTTATGGTAGTGTCTGCCAAATGTCTTTGAGGAAAGGGGTGTGTGGGAACAATTGAGAGTTTGCTGAGTGATCTCAGGTAAATAGAAGACAGCATAAACATGCTGTCATGAGAAATTAAATGTGCGGTGTTGGAGCTGTGAGGACTCCAAAAGATGAAAGGTTTAAGTGGCTATAGTTACATGATGAGGAGAGGTCTGTACAAGAAAGATAAAGAAGAAAGGGGGTTAGGGTAGAGAATGCCAGGAAGCCTGTGTCTGGTTGCCATGTGCCCCCGGGTAAACCACTGAAGTCCTCTGGGCTCTGGAGACACAAGGATTGTGGTTAAGAGCTTGGTTATCTCCCAGGCCCCTAGAGTTCTCTGAGGTTAATGTAGGAGTTCCCTGGGCTGATGACCTAATGCGCTCTCTGCCTGGATTCTCCACAGTGCTGCTTCCAAAGTCTTGACCTGAGCTATCCAGATGAGAGCATCCAGCTTCAAATCACCAAGCAGCATCACAACAAGAGCTTCAGGCAGGTGGTCTCAGTCATCGTGGCTGTGGAGAAGCTGTGGAACATACCTGTCGCTGGCCCATGGACCCTCCAGGATGAGGATCTGAGAACCTTCTTTTCCTTCATCTTTGAAGAAGGTACTTGATGAGCACTAAGGGCAAACAGTAGACCTTCTCTCTGCTCCTTCTCTGCCTATCTCTTGGCAGTCAACTTCCCTCCTTAAGTGGAAAACCCTTAATGGCAGACATTTCAACCCTTTGAAGAAAGCAGGGAAACCTCCAAAATGAATTAGTTAGATCTTGAGCTGATTAGCTTAAAAGAAGGTTTTAATGATGCTCACATTCGAAACCGGACCATTTATTCTCCAAGTACTTTGGCTTACACTAGAGCTTGAAGTCTCACAATGCCCCTGATGAACTAATTTTATTACTAGCAACATTTTCTGTAAGTACCACAACTGCTAGTCCATAGCAAATGGTCATAGCGCTGAAGGTTGTCTCAGGGTGCCAGATCACCTCACTTCCAATTTCTTTATACCCCACAAAAAATAAAGTAGAACCTTGACTCTGAATGCTTAGATGCCACTTGATAAACCAAATTCTGCTGCTTTGCTTCACTGGGCTGGCTCTTCTAATTGTCTACCTAAACAACATCCTTTCTTTGACTTTCAGAGCCCATCTTTAGTGACTCCTGGGATGATGAGCTGATCGTGGCTGATGTTCCCATTAGACAGCTGCACTGCAGGCTCCGAGATGAACAGCAGAAATGCCTCGTGCTGTCTGACCCATGTGAGCTGAAAGCTCTCCACCTCAATGGACAGAATATAAACCAACAAGGTAACTAGGCACACCTTGGTTTCCCTTCCTGGACTCCTGGAGGCTTACTAGATCTCTGTGTTTTAAGATGGAACACTATAGCAAATGTGTGTGTGTGTGTGTGTGTGTGTGTGTGTGTGTGTGTGTGTGTGTGTGTGGGGAATTATAACCCTTTTCCGGTCCAGTCACAAAGTGATATAGGGGTAGCACATTGCCAATGCTCCATGAGTGTGGAGTCATTTGATGGACACGCCACAACTGCCTGTGGCTCTTTTTCCCTCATTTGAGGCTGAAATGTGGCTGGTAGAAAATTGATATATCCATTTTTGTTCCCAATCCTGTCCCTTGCCCTGATATCCTTCCCACCCAATACCACAGGGTTCCTACAGGGAGATTTACTGACCATCAGGAACTTAAATGTCTCGTCGATAATAAGTGTTTCAAGTGTGGCAAGGGTATCTTTAGATGTAGGGATAGGTCTGGCACCACACCGCTGCGGCCAAGAGGGCAACAGCTGACAGCAGCGGCATGTGCTTCTCCTTGGCTTCTCATCTTAGAAGCTATGGAAGGAGCTGTCTGCTCTTGTCCAGGTGAAGATAATCTCATTTCTTTATAACTGAGCCATGACAGTGGCCAGGGGCCTCTGAATGAGATTGCTGTGACTAAGATCAAAATGGGTGTCTCTTTCTTGAAGCCACTCTCCCCAGCTAAGCCAGTTGTTCCCACTTGCTGTTCTATATTCCTCAAAGAGAGAGGGCCCCCGAGTCTTCTAGGAGCATAGCTTTACCTGGTTTCATAGTGACCAAACTGTACTTCTCATGTTAATGGGCACACAGCCCACAAGTGACATAAGAGCTTTATTCCTTAGAGCTTAGGTGAAACCCCTTTCATTCTTCATTGCTGCTACTAAGAGGTTCTGAGTGGATCCTGGCTCAACCGCCTGACCTTGATACTGTCTATGAGAAGCCGTGTTAGCCCAGTCTGTGCCAGAGGAAGCTCCTTCTGGGCTTTGCCTGTCAAGTCTGGAGTTTGAGTCCTCCCAGCACTGCTGTATCCTCAACCCCTTTGTTTTCCTTCCTCCAGTGGTATTCTCCATGAGCTTTGTACAGGGAGAAACAAGCAGCAACAAGACACCTGTGGCCTTGGGCATCAAGGGAAAGAACCTGTACTTGTCCTGTGTGATGAAAGGTGACATGCCCACCCTGCAGCTGGAGGTGAGTGATGACAGAGAAAGCCATCCCCTTGTTCTCTTGAGACTCTCAGCCATTCCGTACTTCCCAGACATCTTCCTGCTCCCACCCTCCAGAAAATGCCAGAGGTCTTAAAATAGAATAAAATTAGCATAACTTTTAAATGCATGTAAACCTCACTCCCTCGATGGGGGAAATTAAGCCATTTTGCTGTTCTTATCATGTCCTGCCATGGCTATGGCCGACAATATATCGTACAGTGTTAAGGATGAAAGGGTTGCATATGGCTACAGTTTTTTCCTCATTTGTCAGAGGACAGTTTGGAGACAATTAAAGTGATTAAAGTGAATCACCATCAGTCCCGAGGTAGCCGAGGCCCACCACTTGTAACATTCTTACCAAAAGCTTCATTCCTAAGCTGATGCCATTCAGGTTTTAGGGGGGAAAAGGTGACAAAAATACCCAGAAACTAGGTATTCTTAGAATATTTTATTATAATTTTCATTTTTAAAAATATTTCTACCCATATGATCCTCCCCTTGGGCTTAGGATTCAGAGAAAATAAACGGCTCCTTCAAGGATTAGATAGAAAGATGGGGTCCATCAGTAAAGAATGTGGCCCCTAGCCCCACAATCTGCTCACCAATGTCTTCTCCAGCAGCCTGAGAACATGGCTACTGTGGTAGCTTTAGCCTTTCTGTCTCACACACATAAAACTCTTCTTTCTATTTTTCTGCAGAGTGTGGATCCCAAACAATACCCAAAGAAGAAGATGGAAAAGCGATTTGTCTTCAACAAGATAGAAGTCAAAAGCAGGGTGGAGTTTGAGTCTGCACAGTTCCCCAACTGGTACATCAGCACCTCTCAAGCAGAGCATAAGCCCGTCTTCCTGGGGAACAACAGCGGCCAGGATTTAGTTGACTTCACCATGGAATCCGTTTCTTCCTAGGAGGCTCATGTATGAAGCCTCAATCCTTATTGCTGACACCTGAAGTATAGGCTGGACTACTTCTAATGCCCTCCCCAGAATGTGTCCATTGTCACCAATGAGGGGACAGCTCTGATTCCAGGGGCATCATTAGTCCTCTGCCGAGCCAGGACTCCCTCACCTCTCCTGCATTTTCAGAGCCACCTTGACAGAAACCATAGCACAAGAAATCTTATGTTTTCTTCCTGGCCTCTGATGGACAACCACTTACCTGTTTATTTATGTATTTATTGATTGATTGATCTATTTAACTTAATTCAAGGGAAACATGAGGCATGCCTACAGAAGATTCTTGTTTTCAATGTTTATGTAATAAATTGAATTTGGATCCTGAACTGAGTTCTTTCATTGAAGCTGAGAATAAATAGGCTTGTATTATGCAGATGAGAATATTTATGAATGAAACATTAGCACATTGTTTTGATGAGTATGAAATAAATTTCACACACACAAAAAAAACTTTCAGCCTAATTATTGAGTTCTCTTGGAGTTTGCACAGAAAGAGAAAAATAAATTGGTCCATGAGAATTCTCACTGGAGGTTAAGAAGCCCATTCCTCACAGCTGAGAGCAACAAAGTATCCTAGACATATCCTTGACCACAAATATAAACCTCACCCTCTCAGCTTCTTCCTTTCTTCCTTCCCTCTTTCCTTCCTTCCTTCCTTCCTTCCTTCCTTCTTTCTTTCTTTCTTTCTTTCTTTCTTCTCTTTCTTTCTTTCTAAAGTCTATTCAAGGGCTGGGAGATGGCTCAGTGAGTAAAGTGTTTTACCATGCAAGCATGAGGGTGTGAACAAGATCTCCAACATCCATATAAAAAAACCTGGCATGGTGGCACATGCCTATAATCCCAACACTGGAGATGTTGGAACAGGAGGATCCCTGGGACTTCCTAGCCAGTTAGTCTAGTGGGTATCCACATTCAGTGAGGGGCTCTGTCTTAGAACTTAAGGTTGGAAGCAATTGCGGAAGATAACTGATTTTGATCTTTAGTCTACACCCCCACACATGAGCACACACACACACACACACACACACACACACACACACACGGATTTTCATTGCACATAACTGATCAGAAAAATAAGTTCAGCTGAAACTTTAAAGGGAGTAAGATTTAGTTGTAACAGTTGACTTGACTAGTCATTTAGTCCACAGCCATCTGTGAAACCAATGCTTGAGCTCCTAGTACAGAGACGGATAAGCTAAGTACTCTACTTACATAGCAGATAGGTGGGTAGAAGAATGGAAGGATGGATAAGAAGGGATTGACCTGTGAAACAAGCTTGTTCCTAATTTGAACTAATAAAAAAATCAAAAAAAAATTAAGGCAAGATAGAGAGAAGATGAAGTATAAACGGAGTAGCTGGGAAGGAGCGACATGGTCTGGCAGGAGAGATGACAAGTCAAGGAGAGTGACTTTCGCGTCATGTCTAAAGGAACAAGGGCAAGTAGAAAAATGAGGAAAAGACACATCAGGTAGAGGGTCCCAAGTGAACAAAGGCATTGGGATATGAGAATGAATGGCGCACAAAGAAAATCAAGAATATCCCAAAACAAAGTCAAAACACAAAACAAACTACAGAAAGAGAAAAGTGTACTTCATCCCAAATAAAGGGATAATATCCTGAACATGCAGAGAGTTCCTTCAAAACATTAGAGGAAGAATAGAATGAATGTCCAACAAAACAATAAACTCAGAGGGTTATTACCAGGCTGGGCTGATCACAAAAAGGGAAATGTCATCAGACCCTGGCAGAGCAAGGGTTACTCGATGTTACTCATTAGAAGAAAGTCAACTTAAAGGTACCTCGAGATACTCATGTCTTCCTATCTGGGTGACGACAAAAATCAAAGGTTTCACACACCCTGTTGGCGAAACTGTAGGGAAACCCCACTGTTAAATATTATACATGAAGAATGACATCTATGGGAGAGAATGTGGTGATGACTGACAGTCACAAATGTACTTCGCTTTGTCCCAGCAATCTTACTACTGAGGATGCAGCCCATGAATGTATATGGCCTATATGAAATGATACAGAATCAGAGCTGTCCGTTTCACGGAGATCACTCGCAATAATTGCAACTAACTCAGTATCAACCAAAGCCTGCTTAAAGAATCTGAGACAGAACTGAAGAGTGAGGAAAGACCTGGCTCTCTGCGCCAATACAGAACTCCTTCTAAAACATGCAGAAAAAGCCAGGCCTGAAGTGGCAACATAACAGAGAGCAGAGGGGGCGAAAGCAAAGCCACCTATTGCGCTCATATTTGATCTGAAATTTCTAGAGGATATTTAAGAAACAAATCAAATCCCTGAGAAGATCCAGGAAATAAAACATACCCGAGCATGCATTGGAATAAACCCCTCTCTGTATTCTTTCTATATGGTTTAATCTTTTTAATCATGTGAATATATCAACATTTCAGATATATAATAGCAGTAACTAAAGCACTGAAATGCTAGTGCTTAGAAGCTCGCTTCCAACACCCATTATCTCCAGCTCCTGAAGTGACTGTTTGTTTGTGACTTTGGCAGGAAACACATCACCCCACAACAGCTCCTACCAGCTTCCAAGGAGAGCCCACATGCTGGAAAGTGGAAACCAGGTGCTTCTAACTTTAACCTGATGTCTGAGAGTCAGTAACAAGCAATCCATAGGGGCAGGCAATGGCTGATTTTATAGAACTGAGCAGCAGTGAGCAAGCACCTGGTTGGAGAAGGAAAAGAACCCAGTGATATCTGGGAGCGTATGGGGTCTGAGAGACTGGGAAGTGGGTAGCTGCTAACACCTAAGCCAGAGGTGGAAGTGTAAGACAGTGTGACTTCTACACAGGCCTCTCGTTATTTGTTATACCATGAACAGTAGGGCTTTGGGATTGGCATAATTTGAACAACAGGAAATGAAGAAATGATAGACATGTACAGAAAAGCTGGGATCGAGTGGGCCCTGTACTCTGACTGAGACACACTGGCTGCCTTGAAACTCAGTGAGTTTATTGTATATCGTTTAAGGAGAGGGCAGGCTAGCTAACCTCAGTAGTGGGGCGGGGGTCTCTGTAGGGGAGAAGTCTCAGGAGTCATCTGGAAGGAAGAAGCTGTGACTGATAAATTTCTGTACACTGACAACATCCCTACTCTGACCAGGGAAAACCTCGCCATTCCTGTAGGTCTGAGGCACTGAGATCCTTGGCATGGCCATGTTTGTGTCCCCAATACATTCACTTGGGAATCCATCTGCTCCTTCCACTGTTGCTTACTCTTCACCCCAACATACACACACACACTCACTCACACACACACACACACACACACACACACACATACACACACACACCAGTACAACCTTGCTAAGCACCAACAGACATGTGGTTCTCCTGTAGGCCAAGGTGAGGGTGAGCTGGAGGTCTGAGGTAATGATTCCCAAGGATGTATAAGTCAGAGCTTCCTCCCAGTTCTTCAAACTTATCTCACCCACATTGAGGGTCCCAAATTGGCAGTGAAGGATCAAGCCAAGTAATAAGATTTTTCTTCCAGGGAAGTCCGGAAGCACTTTTGCTCTCACCTAGGTAAGCATGACTACTCACTTACATAATCACGACAATCCAATTCCCTACAAGAAAGTCACAAAACCGTGAAACACAGATGCATTGGATGGATCCCTGGGAGTAGAGACAAGGAATGTCATGGCGGGGGGAGTGAGAAGGGTTCCGAGGTCCCTGGCTATTCTCCCAAATCAAAGGTCTTAATGTCTCTAAGAACACTACATCTTCTAGCAAATAGAGTGTCTGGAGACAGAGATGTCAAGGTAAGATCTATGCCTGAACAAGAGGTGTCCTTAGGAGACTGAGGAAAGATCTGTGAGTTATGCAGCCACTTTCTCTCAAGTGCTAAGCTTCCTCACAAACTGCTCCCGCCACCATGTCCACCTGCTGTCATGCCTCTCTCCGTGATGGTGATAGACTCTCGTGCCTCTTCAACTGTAAGCCCAAATAAACCCTTCCTTCTAAAGTTGCCTTAGTGTTTTATCATAGCAATAAAAAGGTAACTAATACACATGTGGAAAGTAGCTTTTTGACTGAATCTGTAATAATAATATACAGAATATATACAGATTAATGATAAACCAGCCTGCCTCCATCTTAGACTTGCAAACCATCTTCTAGTAAAGACAAACTAGTAAAGACAAACAGGTTCATTCCTGTTCATGATTAAATCTGTTTCTCAAGGTTTGGGCTATGCCCCACCTGTAACCTTAACTACAAATAGTTCTGTATTCCCGGGTCTGAGAAACAGCAACCGTGCCTTTGTTCAAAAAGATTATTATGACCACCCGTTGCTGTGACCACCTGTTATGATCACCTTGCTACCATGTCTTTGTTTCAGGAGGTTGTTATGAGAAATGTATTATGCTTTCGTTCTACTTCTGTGACCCTGCCTATTTGCCTGCCAAATCTCCCATTTGGAAACCCCCTACTCCTGAACTATAAAAACCCTTATCTTATCCATATCCAATGTCGATCTTTTGAACCTTGACTTATGGGAGAGACAACCCTTGTACACCAATAAAAAAAAATTAAACTTACTTTAATTCATTTGTGCATGATGATTTGGTTGGAGGTCTTTCTCCTCACATCTGTGGGACTGACAATTAATTTTTCTTATCTTTATCCCTAAATATTGCAATAAAACTATGTAAAATTTACATTGTGTTAAGTATAAAAACTAAAAGCTATTAAAGATCATCGCTTCCTATTGCCATACATCTAAAAATTACACAAAGAAATCTTCCAATAGTGAGAAAACTTACTACATTCTGTGTCTTTGAACTAATATTTCTATTCATTTCCTTCCTTCATGAAGTTTATTATTAACATACATATATAATATTATTAAGAGCATTTTATTGATTATCCTACATTCTTTGTGACAACAAAATAATTTATATGAAGTTATATGT